CAAACGGGTTGGCTCAACCGTAAGAGGACCACGCTCTCACAGAATACCAACGTAAAACAGAAGCTCAATGCTGCTGGATACGAGATATTCATATTCCATCTTAGTCCTCAAAGGTGGCAACACATCTGCATTTTAAATTGTATTGGAAGATAAATGAAGATGTCTATAGGCTACAAAAACAGAAACAAAAGCTATTCATTATTATCATTATCCAATGTAGATTATAAATAATACTTATTGTGACTCCCATCTTTAATTTACTACTGGTTCCGAAAATACCTCTGTCCTGGAAAGAACCAGCAAGAAACCCAACGAGACTTACAGTTTACAATCAAATACTCGTATGATACACAATTAACAACACAAAACAAATTAGAAATAGCTTGGTAGCCAATAGCGATCACCTAATTCCCATGGGTTATTATCATTGGGGGGGGGGGTGGGTTTTTTAATTTTTTTTTTTTTTTGGGGGGGGGGGGAGCATAAATTTGTCCCTAGGGGGTTTTTTTCCTTCGCGGGCTTAATTACAAATTCCTTAATATTATGAAAACGCTTTTAATAGAAACTTTGTTTAATTACTAAAGTTTTCGAACTTTGAGCACAGTATTCACTTTTGATCTACTTACTATGCAATCAGGTGGGCTGTGTGCTCGTTGGTCAACCTTATTCTAAAAAAAAATCAAACATGACAACACAACATCTATGACATTACAATAACATCCTTACTACCGATCTAGAAACTTTGTAATTAACAAACCTGGTAGTTAGTACTAAAATAAAAATAATTTGAGACGCTTGTCACTTCGTAAAACAAACGATACCACACAGTGTGGGGCCTGTCACGTTTTTTACTCGTCTGTAAACAGTAATTTGGTATCGGTACCAGGTTTTCGGTTCGCTTTGATCTCGCAGCATCCGCCCCGCACAAAGCCGGCTCTATCAAGCCCCCTCGGCGCGGCTTTTGCGTTTTTCCCAACCGCTGCTTGGTTGGTTAATGTGGTTGTTTACACGCGAATAAATTTCTTTATTGACGCGTAATTGGTTTCGGAAATTGCAATTGCTAAACCTATTAGAGTCGGTCAAGCGTTCTGGCTTGTTTGGTTACATTGCCAAAATATTTTTTGTTAAACGCATGAATAAATATTCCAGTCATTCAAATTATTCTCTTAAAAAAGCTTGATAATTATAATAACAACAAAATCAAAGCTTTTTAACAGAGTAATTGGATCTATGTGTTCATTTTATTTTATAAATAAAATTAAACGAACGCATAATTAAATACACCAATCATTCAAATTATTCTGTTAAAAAAAGTTATGAAAATAATATTGACAACAAACTCGAAGTACATACCTACCTAATTGTCGTATCGAAAAACAAATACTTACATACATACTAAAAACATAAATATTTGTATTGTTTACGTGACTCTGTCGTGTTATACGAATACTTGCTTTGTTTTTTTTTTTTTTGTGGGAAAAGCTTTTTTCATCCATACATTTCAGTTTATCAATAGTCCACTGCTGTACATGAGGCTGAGCTCTACGTTCAGCAGTGGACTAATGATAGGCCATAAATTGCCATAAAGGGGTTTATTTGTCATTGTTTCACGATTGGCAGGCAGGGTGGTCAGCGTAGATTTAAATATTTTTAGTTGTTGTGACGAAGATGCTACTGACCATCTTCCGTTTCATTCGGACACCTCTTTCCACACCCATGGGACGATATATGGGGCAGTTGGTTCTTTTATACTACCACTATATGGCGAAAAAACATTCCTTATTTTTTAACTAAATTACTAATCCATTTTAGAATTGCCTCCTGTCTTTTGAAATTAATTCGTATAAAATATAAACCATTTTTATCGAAATATCTACGACGGTTAAGCATTATAATTCCATATAACTTTAGTGCCCCTAGTTTAGTTGTAGACTTGTAGAAGAACAATGATGTTTTGTCGATTTTTCCTTAAAATTTACTTCAAACTCATTCATAACAGCCAGAAAAAAAGTGTTGTGTGAAGTAGTTATAAAATATACGAAACATATTTAAATCCAGATATGACGGTAAATATCCATAACTTAAATATTGTTATATTTTTCCCTCTTCTGTTATTGTTATTAATAATAAATTTATTATCACGTACTATTATACTCACAATTTATTACGCATAATCATAAGCATAAACATGAATTCATGAATAATAAAAAATTTAAGACATAGATTTAAAATAAATTACAATTGCAATTGCTCGCTTGCAATGCCAGAGTGCTTCATCGTAAGGAAAAATGTTCGCAGAATTTAGATTATAAACAATTCCATTAATTGTTATATAATATGACGATTATTTGAATATCGTAGGTAATATCAGCGTATAATATATCATATATTATCTTAGTAATATTCCACTAACGCTAAGTGGCTTTTGAAGTCCATGGACACGTGCAACTTTATATTAAGATGGCCTTATATATATATATATATATATATATATATATATATATATATATATATATATATATATATATATATATGTTATTTCTAATAAAGATTAAATAAAATCTCTAAGAATGTGTAAGGGAGGATTACCTGCAAATGAACTTGAGTCGGAAAAGAAGTTCTACCGTAAAGTAAAAAAAGAAGAACACACTCGAGTTAATCCTCATTGATTGTTATATAAATAAAAGCTCATAAATTCACTAAGATAAGAACGTTATCAGCAGGAAAATTAATACGGATACAGCAAAACGGCCCTGTTATTAAGAAAACTGCTTTACAGAGGGAGCGCTATAAAAACACTGAATCATTTTGAAACTTATTTTTAGTTTATAAAATTTAAATGATTACAATTTAAATTCAAAAACTTATTTAAATTTTAAATAATATTTTTATTAATTTCAGTTATTACACAATGGAGTACTTAGTGTGATTTTAATCTTGATATATGATTCAAAACTTAGGAAATGTAGATTCATTTGCGTAATTATTTCAAGTTTATATTAAATACATTAACCGCAAGTTATACACCATAACTAATGCTATTTAGTATTGTATAAATAATTACTTATTCTATTTTTGGATATTTTTTCAGCACTAGATACATATTCTGAATTCGGTGTTAATTCAGATTAATGTAAGTACTGTAGCACATTTTTTTACATTGTTATTATCATCACTATTTTACTATTATAACTTTTTCTTAACTGAGAATTTCTTGGCATAAATGGCATAATCATGAACAGTTTCATCAAAATAATGCAGGGCAGATGTTCTGTCACAATAATTTAAATTTATATTTTGATCATATTGAACATAAATTTATTCGTTTTTTTTTTAATTTCAGTTACCCACCGGTCATGATCAGATCAGGCTATCGAAATCAAAAAGGTTTTATGAGATTGGGTAATCCCTTTTCTTGCGCTATAAACAGAGAGCTATTTATAATTTTATTAATTTCATCAAATATTTTCATAGCTACATTTAGTAGGTAATGTAGTAAGTTATTGATTCTGGCCATAACAAACATTTGTTTCTTTATTAGATTAAAACGTTTAAAGTTTGAAACTTATTGTTCGTGATGGAATCATCATTATTTATTCCCTGGTATTCCTTCTCTGCCTAAGATTTTTCTAGGTAGAAAACACATTCTTACTAACTTATTTCTCCAGCAAAGCAACGGTGTATGATCTGTCTAGTAATTTAACTGAGAGAACAGTAAAGTAAATAATTACAGGCTACGAGGAATTCTTAAGGAACATATTTCTTAGACTTGTTTGAATTAGTTTGTAGCAGTCTAGCAATTCATGTCCTACAAAAAAGTCAGTGCATCATTTTAGTAATATACGAATATGAGCAATTTGAATCACAGCATTAAATTGTATCTGTATTGTAGATACAAAGCAAACTATTAAACAAATATAGGCGCCTATTTATTCCTAAACAAACACTAAAACTATCTCGCTCCTAATTTATAGAAGTGCGCGGGGCCTACGAGACCCCGAACTCGCAATAAACATGTTTTTTGTTTCGCGTGTCCGCGCACTGTCAAATATATTACAACCCGGCGGGTTATTTACGACCTCTGTCGTCCGCCCATACGTTATACTTAGTATCTTTGTTTGGACACAATAAGCAATATTTCTAAAGGGCCCCGACGTCGCTCGCAGCTGTTGATATGGGTTCCCAAATTGACATATTTAATTTGATCGCTACGGAGGGTCCGCTTGAATGAGGCCGTGTTTGACAGGTTTTAGTGTCGGATTAACATTAACGTTATGGACTTAGCGATGTCAATGGAGAGATATATCATTTCGGATTTACGTGCACGATCAAAACTAAACTTGTAAACCGAGCGTCAACACTTCAAGCAGTTTCACGTTAACGCTCCGTTCTCGTATAACAGATCAATTTTGCCCCTTTGAACTGACATCGGATCGGTGCACAAAGGCGACTGTAAAAGAGTAAGTAGTTGCGAATGTGTCAGCTGTAAAGTGCGCTCGATGAGAGGAACGTCGTCGAAAGTGTAATAAAAGTGGCGCGGAACAAAAAGCTGTGGAGTGTAGCGAAGCGGCAGGTAGGCGCTGGCTCGCGGCGGCTCAAAGCGGCCGTCATGGGTGGCTCGCCACCAACGCCATCGCACGTCTCAATCCGCACCCGGCTGCCGGCCATGCCGCCTTTCCTTTTTCCCCTACCGCAATGCAGAGCTATGTGTCGTTTCCGCTTTATTTTTTATGGCCGTGCGCTGCAGCAGAGAGATATAGCCTTGCTACTCTAACAAAGACTTGAGATATCGCTGTCTCCGTTACGCGGGGAGCGGGGCAAGGAGACAGCGGCTCGTCGAGCACTGGTGGGGCTCGGTCTCTCACAGTCGTCTCAACCGCTGCCACGGGCGCACGTGTCCAGTGTTGTACATTCCGCGACGCCGTGTTACAGAGTAGTTGTGTTAACAGAGAGCTCAGTGTTCGCTGTGAAGTTTGAGTGATTGTAAAAGTTTTCTCCAAATGGTCGTGTTGGAAGACGGAGGAATGATGACTACCAATCCTAATCAATATTTACAACCTGATTATTTAACGCCACTTCCGTCCTCTGTAAGTTTATTTTGTTAAACATTTTTTAGAAAAATAAAAATAATATTAAGGAAAAATTCTAATAAATTTCAATGTTATTAATTTTATTCTTTCTTTGTTACAGTTGGATTCGAAGAAAAGCCCGCTTGCGCTTTTGGCGCAAACTTGCAGCCAAATTGGTGCAGACACTGCGCCCGCTAAGCCTCTTTTGCCGCCGCTTGATAAAAAGAAGCCAGTGAATAGTGTAAACAGTGATGCAGTTAGTCGTTCTTCACCGAATTCTAACAAATCAGACAAACCCCGTTCTACACCAGAAAATAAGCATTTAGCTTTCAAACCATACGAAACCAACGTTGTTTCAAAGAAACCAGAAGAAGTTCGGCCTTCATCCAAGGCAAGTACCGACAGTTCTGATGAAAAAAAATCTGGCAAAAGTACTCCGGGGCGTAAATCAACGCCGCCGTCCACAGAGAATGGAAAAAATACTCCATCACATGAGAAATCCTCGCCAGCAGGATCGTCGGGTACAAGCCCCATTATCCGCTCGGGCTTAGAAGTTTTAGGCCATGGAAAGGATCACTTGGGCGCTTTCAAAAACCTACCTGGATTATCTGGGTTCAACCCACTCGCGGGACTTTGTTGTCCACCTGGAATGGAACAGCATGCAAATCCTGCATTCAGACCACCTTACGCTGGCGCACCATTTAACGCTCATCATGCCGCTATGCTAGCAGCTGCAGCGGCTTTTCCAGGATCATCACCAAATCCTTACCTCGGCTACGCCCGCGTTAAGACTCCCGCTGGAGGTGAAACCTTAGTTCCTGTCTGTAAAGATCCATACTGCACTGGATGTCAGTTCTCAGTGAATAACCATCACCTTCTCATGAGCAACGGGTCCTGTCCTGCAGGTTGTACTCAATGTGAACACCAGAAATACAATTTGGCGATGGCGATGGCTCTGTCACAACAAGGAGCCGCTGCTAGTGGTCTTCAATACGCACAATTAAGTCGTCCTTACGTTTGCAACTGGATTGTCGGGGAGTCTTACTGCGGAAAGAGATTTGGAAACTCCGAAGAGCTTCTTCAGCACCTTAGAAGTCACACCACAGACGGTTCAACGCCTGTTTCTGCAACCTCTACACAAGCATCGCTCCTAAATCCGTTAAACCCTCTATTTACGACTGCAGGATTACGCGGTGCATACCCTACAGCTCCTCTTAGCCCGCTGTCAGCAAGTCGGTATCATCCTTACTCAAAAGCTGGGATACCTGCTAGCTTAGGTGGTTCTCCTTATGGGGCTTTCAACCCCGCGCTCGGGCCATTCTATTCGCCGTACACCATGTATGGACAGAGGCTAGGGGCCGCAGCGGTGCATCAATAGACTGTTTGGTGTCAGATTAATGGGACTGATGTTATTAATGTCGTCTTGTCCAATTTTCTTCTGTGATATTAATAGACTCTAATTCATGCTCTGTGGCGTATTGCGTCCCAACAAACTTAGTGATTAGTGCAATCTAAATTAGTTATTTATGTAAGTGAAATTGCCGTCGGGCTCGTTTCTACGCGGGTGAAGTCTGATCTATTTGAGAACTGTGCATTGTACAGCGAATATTGTTCTGTGTTAAGAAAATCTATGTTTAATATTAAATAAAATATTTCAAATATAATATTAACATACCAGTAACAACAAATCTATTATTTCATTTATACATCACCTAAACGATACACTGAGTTATTGTTACTTATTACAGTTAGTTAACAAGCGTTTGTATTATTGACTAATCAGTTTATTAAATATTTAAATTTATATAAAATTATAAATAATACAAAATAATAATAATAATTGATAATGATAACTGATTAATAACTGAAGTACAACATTTGAAGACATAAATCAAACACTTTTTTTATCATTATTCATAGCTAACTATAAATTATCAGCTAGCAGTTAACACTAGAAATATCAATTCGAAAGTTAAACACCGACATCAAAATGAGTTATATACCTTCAAAAATACCTGCTTTCCAACTTAAGCCGTTGCTCGGCAATAAAGCTGAGATAATGATTGATTAATGTACTTCTAAGACAAGCATTAATGCTGTCAATCAATACAGAATCGTAACGTGATAAAGCAAGCCCGCAATCACGCGAACAGTGCCATACTACCGCCCACCTATCACGAACAGAAAAACGACCGACATAACAATTTTATACATTGAAAAGCACAAAGAAAAAGGTACATACACGCGAGAGCGCCGTTGAAAGTCATTAATAACGAAGCCGTGAGCTGTCAGCTCTTTTAATACCGAGTTTTTTTTTTAAATAAATGCTATTTTGATTAGGCCCATGTCATATCTAAAAGTCAACTGTCAAAAACATAATTGGTCGCACTGAAAGGCCCAAAGACAGGTGGCAGAGCAATCAAAAACAGAGATTTCGGATATGATATTAAAAACGTAATAGATCATGTTATTAAAATACCTTTTTATCTATTTAAAATTTAAACTTCATTACAATCTAAAGCACATTAAGATTAATATTCGTTATTAAACCTGTTTTGACTTTTAAATAAAAAATATGTTTATTCCACTAACTTTAACTAATTAATATTTATAGGTAGCTAATTTAGATAGAGTATAATAAAATTTGTGTAAAGTAGGTTTTCTGAATCGAAATAAATAACTGAAATTGCCTATTGTGCTAGTGCATTAATAAACAAAACAATTTACGATCGACTCAACTTTTATTATTGGCTCGGTATTACAGCAGTAAATTATAAAATCTATAAAATTAATTATGATAACGTGACACGACTTTGACACAGTTTATGGATTATGGTGCAACACAACATTGTTTTCTTGATGCAACTAGCGCCATCTAGTCTACACCTATTGAACTACATGAACAGCTTCCGCAAGCTGTGTTTTCTTAATTATACCAGGGAATAAGAATGACGTTATAATTTGAGTTACCAATTTAATGATTTAAGTATTATTTAAGTATTAAATAAAAAAAACGATTCCTAATAAAATACGGAAACATAAGTAATTTGATTTATTTTGCTGAGGTAAAAATTTCAAATGTCGCTTTCGTATTTAGATAAAAAGAATTACATTTAAATAATTATATGTATCGTTTAGCAGGCGGTTTGCCAATTTTTTTTATAAATATGTTTAGTTGGTATCAGGACTATGCAGCTACGGTAGCCATTATTTTTTATAGAATAAGGGTAACAAGCAAGCACAGAGTCCACCTGATGGTAAATCGATGCTGTGTCCATATACATCTACTCTTGATTAAGAATAAATATGCAGATGCGTTGTCAACCCTGAATACTTAGATGGCATCCCTCATTTCTAGTAAAAACGTCACCAGTTCTCTATACTCACTATACAAAACATGGCATTGAGCTGCTATTTTAAGCTGACTGTGAGAGCGTGGTCCTTCCTCGGTCGAAGCGACCCTTTTGTACTGAAAGCATTATATAGATGCGGCATAGCTCTACTACGTAAGTGCATTTCCTGTTTTACTTTCCCTCTGTTGCTTTTCACGCCACCTATGTATTGATGGATATAGATGTATGTAAGATGCCGCTGTACAGTAATGTAGTACGGGCAAAATCAACCCTATAGTGCAATCGATGTGGGTTGCCTGTTTTGACAGACCGTATTAAATTAATTATATTTAAAGATAATTTACTTATTTTATTATTGTACAATTTATTATAATTTAAAAAATATAAGCGAACTTAAATGCCTTTTGCATGCTATCAACCCGAGCATGGTAAAAATTTATGCCACATAAAAGAAATAAACAAAAAAAATATTACAATAATATTTATTGATGGATTAACACAAAATATTACAAATAGTTCCATTTTTATGCTTAAAATTTGCCTTTTTATAGCATTGGGTGACAAACGAGCACACAATCAACCTGATGCTAAGTGGATATAGTGGCCCAAAGACATCCACATTTATCCTCAATTAAGAATCAAAATGCAGATGCGCTGTCACCCCTGAGGTCTAAGATGGAATGCTTCGATTCCAGTAAAAAGGGTCTCTTGTTCTCTACACTCACCATACGAAACACTTTACGCAGCTATTTTACGCTGGTATTCTGTGAGAGCTCGATCCCACCCTGTCGAGCCGACCTATTCGTGGTACAACTATAATATAGTTGCAGCGTGGTTCTAACACCTAAAAATGTATTAATATCCATATTATACATAATATTAAACCATGAATATTTGGTTTTCAATTATTTATCTTTCAACAAAAAAGAACGATTCATACGCTACTGTGGTTTCTACGTAAGAAAATACTGTTATTTCGTTAAAACTTCCTCACACCATTTGTAAAATTGCTGCAGTATCAAAATCCGACTTTTAATACATGATAAATCTAGTCAGGTAAAGTATAATAATAATTAACACCTTGTTGATGCACAAGATGCCACAAATATTTCTCTTATAAATTATTTTATGGCGAGATTGCTTTTGACAGATGCATACCATAGATTGATGGGGCTGAGCGGTGTAATCTCTACAGCGAAATAACCAATTACGATTAGCATAAACATAAGGTGAGGTAAATTAACATATCAGCGTATGAATTATGCATCCAGCATAATTTGGACCCGTAGGTTGAATTAGAGGGTTAGTTACTATCCGTAGCATTGACGATTGGATGGATTGTGATAGTTGTCATGTTAATTTAAGACGAGTTCTACCTGGAGTTTCAAAGGGATTATTTTGTTTATGCCGGTTTGGTCCCCTCCTCGGTTCATCTTTTATTAGCGCATTAGTATCGTTAAATGGTAGTTCACTGTCGCTTTCAAATGATGCGTAGTCTTTTGTGTTTGGCGGTGGACACATCGTGCGTTTCGCCTCTGATATAGATCTATGGCGGTGTTGCACCTTGGAATATTAAAGTATTCCATTGTAATATAACAATGAGCATGTAAGCAGTGCCTCGTTGTAACAATGTGTCAGTAGGTGTCATGAATTTTTACGTTCCTTCTGTATATCATATAATCATATGATTTACATATAATAGAATAAATAAAGTATTATTTACATAAGCGTCCACCTCGACTTATTACTGAATAAATACTATATTTTGACGTTTATTCTTTTATATAAAAACAATTGAAATAACATGATTTATAGTAATTTCAGGTAATAAATAAATCGTGACCCGTGTAGTATCGGTGTAAGAATATCCACGCCCCTATACCGTCCTGTAGGTAAAAGACGAAAGAGGCGAAAGAAAGAAACTGAAATAAGTGATGGACTAATGTATTCCTGATAACAACTTAAAATATTTAAAAAAATTGGTTGCCAACGAAGTGTGGCAACTATGGCAAAATCTTCCTATGCTATGGGGCAATCTGTGGAAAAGGTTCAGCACTGGACTTTTATAATTTAAAATTATAGATTACAATTTTATAATAGAATATAATCGTTTTACTACTTTTAATTACAATTCGATGCAAGTAATTTTAATTTATTAAATTAGGTTACGCATCAAATAATGCTGTTGAAATGACGGCTCCGTGGCGTAATGGCTTGAGGCGCGCCACTGAGGGATGTGCGTTCGAATCCTGCACGAAATAAGTATTTGTATGGCTTGAAAGTAATTGTCTAGGGTCTGGATATTTGTCCTTGCGTAATTTGTGTTTGTAAAGTGCATCCAATGTACAGAAAAAATCCTATTGTAACGTTTTCAGACAATTATTAAAACTGCTGATTCTGCATTATAACGTATATTAAATGTAGAATCGGGTACTCATTAGCAAGTGTTTAAAACTTAAACATTTCACCGTTAAAAACCTAGTTGGGCAACATTCATTGCTCCATTTCCGAAATATTTTATTGGGACAATAATTGACAGTCAGTGCTAATAACTTGCAGATTATTATCTGAGATATAAAAGGTGAAACCTATTGACATGCGACAGAATTGATATCGGCGCAAATTACAAGGCTACATAGTGCGTGGTGTGAGTGACAGGATTTCGCTTTTTTAATTAGTTTATAAATAAAAATCTATATTTGGTATTGTAATGTGTTAGTGTATGTTTACGTTATTAACGAATTGAAATAAACAATTTTTTATAGAATAAGGGTGACAAACGAGCACACAGTCCACCTGATGGTAAGTGGATGCTGTGGCCCATAGACATCTACATTTATCCTCGGTTAAGAATCAAAACGCAGATGCCTTGTCACCCCTGAGGACTAAGATGGAATGCCTCGTTTCCAGTAAAAAAGTGTCTCCGGATCTCTACACTCACCGTATGAAACACAGCAGTTTTAAGCTGCTATTTTACGCTGGTATTCTATGAGAGCGTGGTCCCTCCCCGGTCGAGCCGACCTATTCGAGCCACAGCCATAATATAGCTGCAATGTGGTTCTACCACGTAAATAAACTGACTATTGCACATCAGAATGAAACTGCATAAAATAATAAATGTCCTACAAAGTCCATCGCTGAACTTTTATTTATTTGCTGTTTAATATTATTTCAACTTTGTGAATAATTATTATAACAACAAATAAATTATTATTTCCATTTCATAAATTAAAAAAATCTTTCGAAAGATTTTTGGCCAACGAGCTTATAACGCGTGGCATATCTGTAGCTCATAAGCACCTGCAGCCGACTTTAAGCAAATAAATCCACAGATTTGTGGTTATCCTTGAGGATTAAAATGTTCTAGCCTACTACTATTGACGGGAGAAATAGGAAAGGGATCGGTACTAACCCAGTTGCCTATCCACCTTGAGAAGGTTGATAATTAAACAATTCTTACATTTTACTTTGCACAATCATGAAAACTTTTTCAAACATAATTAGAAAACAGCTTTTTAATACTTCCTTTGTATATAATACAGATGTCTAATAATCTAATATTATAACATCCTAATTTTATTCCTCAATATGTACGAGTAAAAAAATCCTCTGTTGACCATTGATAATTTCGAGGATTTCCAGTAATAGCTAACCTTGGATAGTGATCTCCTAAAACTATTTACTGTTTTATCATCCCGACTATTTTACGACTGGCTTGTCACCATCGTTTTATACTTTATTATAATCAGTCTAAAAAAGAAAGAATAGAACTACATATAATTATATTAAGTGCCACAAAAACCATGGTCAACTTCTTGACTCGCACTCACACACACATCTTCCCTCTTTTTTGTTTATCAGCCCGCCAAAGTGCTTCTAGACGTACGCACATGCCACAAAACCAAGTTGTTTGCGAAAGATTTTAGATGCAAATGCGTGAGTGTGTCTTATTACAATATAGAGCATAGTTTCACCTTTTATAAAAAATGTACGTAGTGTTTTTGTTTATCTTTTATCTTTGTTCTGGGGTCATAATATATTCAAAAGCTTTTTGTTGATACTTACACTTAGTTGACCTACCACCAATCCACTAAATATTGTAAAATGAATTTATACCATAACGATACAACTTTCATTATTCATAATTATATTTATTTCATGTATTTGAGCGCATAGTAATTGTTCAATTATTGGATAAAATTCCCATATACTATCATCAACATCATTACTGCAAGTCCACAGCTGAACATAGGCCTTCAAGGAATGTCACAAAGCCTGTTCTCGTCCTGAGCCACCTGCATCCATTGACGCATCAGGTCGTCACTTCATCTGTTGCCTATCTTTTCCTCCTTTCTTCCACATCGGTTGTCGGTTCTTCGAGCTATATGACTCGTTCTTTGACACTTCGGTTAACTAATTCGTTAAATTATGTCGGTTGCTCTGGTTTTACTGCGGCTATTCTCATTTCTCACGCAGTTTATCACACAGAGAAACCATAAACCAGCCCTCTCCATAGCTCGCTGAGCGTCCTTGAGCTTCCTCATAAGGCCAGCAGTGAAGGATCACGTCTCAAATCCATAAGTCATTACTAGCAACACGCACTGGTAGTACAATCTTGTTTTAAAATTTTGAGGTAGGGGAGGTAGGGGAGGGACGGGCAGTCGGGAGACATGGGCACCCCCCCTTTTATTCTGGTCCGGTCACAGATTTTATTTTGCCCTACTTTGATAGTTTACTTTACCAACTGGCAACAATGTTCATTCATAGACTATCTGTCATTTCTGTCAGTTGCCAAACACAGACACGTTTGAAGGTTATGCGCTCGTAAAAGTAAATATTTTGTTGTGGTTTCGGATTGTGATAAAGAGAAAACGAACGAAAGGTATGTCTACTTTTCATTGTATATCTATTGTATATTTACGAACCTATAAATAAAATTGAAATTCATGCTTAAATAGCTTAATAAAAAAAATACCGATCACTTATGTTGAAAATGTATACGGAGGGAGTAATGGGCATTCTGATGTGAGGGAGGTTTGGGCATGCCCAATGCTCCCTCCTTTAAGTCTAGTATGGCAGGATTTTTAAAAATTCTAATTACCTGCATTAATTAAACTATTTGAATTATATTTAATTACAGAAAGATGCCATTTAAAGATGTGATATTACGAGCCATAGAAGAGATATCAAAAGGATCAAAAATAAAAACAACGGCTGATAAATATAAAATTCCTAGATCAAGTATGCAACGGTACCTTAAACAAGATTCTATAAAGGATTCTTCGCATAGATTTATAACCTCACAAATTTTCACCGACGAAGAAGAACAAAAATTATCAAATTACATAATAGTTTGTTCTAAACATCATTATGGATTGACAAAGATACAAGCACGTAAATTGGCCTATGACTATGCTGTAGCCATAAAGAAAACTAATATTCCTGATAACTGGATCAAGAACAAAATCGCATCTAAGGACTGGATAAGGGGATTTTTAAATAGGCAATCTCATTTATCAATACGGACACCAGAAGCAACATCATTGTCACGTGCAACAAGTTTTAACAAAACAAATGTTGATAATTTTTTTGAAAATTTAAAAACTGTCTTTGAGCGACATCAGTTTGGTCCTGAAGCTATATATAACATAGATGAAACAGGATTGACAACTGTTCAGCGCACACAAAGAGTTATTGCTTCAAAAGGCTCGAAACAAGTTGGACAAGCAACATTTGCTGAGAGAGGCTCACTTGTCACAGTTTGCTGTGGAATCAATGCTATTGGAAACTCAATACCTCCGTATTTCATATTCCCAAGAGTAAATTTTAAACCATACATGCTTCATGATGCCCCCATTGGGTCAGATGGCTCAACACATCCGTCTGGATGGATGACATCTTCAAATTTCATTAAATATATGCATCATTTTGCGAAACATGCAAAACCGACGCCTGAAAATCCAGTGTTGTTGCTCCTAGATAATCATGAGAGCCATATTTCTGTGGAAGTCTTAGACTTTTGTAAAGAAATTGGCATTGTTCTGATGACCTTTCCACCACACTGTAGCCACAAACTACAGCCACTTGACTTAACAGTGTATGGACCACTAAAAAATTACTACAATAAAGCTTTAACAGATTGGATGGTCAGCAATCCTGGAAAAACTGTAACAATCTATGATATCCCCAAACTAGCAGCCATTGCTATACCTCTAGCTTTCAAACCACAAAACATACAAAAAGGATTTGAAAAACCTGGGATATGGCCTTTTAATTCAAATATATTCTCGAATGAAGATTTTCTTTGCTCTTCTGTCACCGATCGCGATGCACCCGTAACTGATGAAACGTTATCATCCAGATATGACCCTATAATCCAGCCAACTTCAACTCAAGTCATTCCAGAACACCTTGAAAGAGAAAATCAGAATGAAGCAGATCCTGTTAATTTGAATAACATTGCTGTCGCCAATTCTTCCTCATCATTTGCTACAGATCAAATAACAATTGAAGTCGCTGAAGTTGTAACCCCTGAAATAGTAAGACCATACCCAAAGGCTTGCCCAAGAAAACTGATTAAAAATGCAAGGAAGAAAGCAAAAACAAGAATATTGACAGACACACCTGAAAAAAGACTAATAGAATTAGCAGAACAAGAAAAGCAAATCAAGAACAAGGCTAAGAAAGAGAGGCAGGAAAAAAAGGTTCTCAAAAACACAGGGAAAAAACAGATTCCTAAACTTCCATCAGAACTAACATCGAATAGAGTAAAGAAGAGGCAAATGAGCAGTAGTGATAGCGACATAGAAAATGTTTTACTCACTGATAGTTCTGAGGGATCCTTTGCTGAAGACACGTCCGAAGAAGAGTTAGATGAAGATGATGTGATAATGGTTGACAGAAATTTTCAAAAGAATGATTATGTGCTCGTTAAATTTAATGTAAAAAAGACTGTTGTGCACTATGTCGGTCAAATCGAAGACATCAGTCATACCATGGCTACAATAAAATTTATGCGGCTGAGTAAGATAAGAAACACATTTTTTTTTCCTGAAGTAGATGACATAGCTTGTGTTCTACTAGATGACATCAAAACTAAATTGCCGGAACCAAAGACATGCAATAAAACCAAACGTGGTAGCTCTAAGTACACATTTGATAAACCTTTATGGGTTATACCTAATCTTAGATAAGCTAAGATATGTATTTTAGATGTTTTTATTGTTGTTAACTTTTATTTTTGGATTGTATCAGATATTAAGTGTTTTATATTTGGATATTAAGTATTTTATAGGCCATGCCCAAGCCTCCCACAGGGTGTGTCCAAACCTCCCTGCCATAGGGAGCATTGGGCACTTTGACTGAGTTTTAGAAATTATCTTATAATGTTGAGACTGATCATAATTTTAAGAAAGTTCTTTCTAAGATATCTAGCCAAATATGTGGTGCAATAAGAATAGGCATTAAATGTTGATTATATATAAAATCTGGTTTTTTCTGCATCAAATTGTAAAAAAGTGCCCATCCCTCCCCTACCTCCCTATACCTGACGATAAGATTTGTTTTATTCTTCCCAGCTGCTCAGCCGAGTTATTTAGTTATTTAGCTTACTATTCATTATAGTAAGTATTTCTGTTTTATATTTTTTGTAGTACAATTTAAAATCCGCTATTCACTTACTTCTTAAATTTAAAAAAATTACAAACTATAATACTTTAATTATTATACGCGGCTCTGTCACATGTCTGAAGTTCTCACAACAAATGTAATTACACCGAGCTAAACTGCTTACATTAACTCAATAATTTACTATCGAAATGTAACAATTGTCAGTTGATATAAGAACTATAAAATTTTATGTTGCTTGTTTTGAACAGAACAGTCAACATATGACGCATTGTGACATTTCGCAGAGCTATTATTGTTTTGCCGCATTAATAAAACGTAGAGTTAAATAACATCTGTACATAGTAGGGTGACATCCTGAGCCCATATTAATTATCTTATATGTATGTATTGGAGCTACGTTGTAGCTATATAATGAGTAGAAATACGCTCTCACAGAATACCAGCGTAATATAGCAGCTTAGTATTGCTGTGTTCCATACGATGAATGAAGAGAACCGGAGACCCTTTTTATTGGAAACGAGACGTTCCATTTTAGTCCCCACAGCTTACAACGCATCTGCGTTTTGATTCTTGCGTTTTGAACCAGATACAATAACAGACACCTGTAACCAACTTCAATTGGAGTTTTCAGAAGCGTTGTCACTTCTGAGGACTAAGATGCAATGCCTCATCATCATCATTATCATTACAGCCCTTCACAAGTCCACTGCTGAACATAGGCCTCCCCCAAGCACGTTCCTAAGCCACCTACATCCATCGACTTCCTGTGTGTCTTACCAGGTCGTCACTCCATCTAGTAGGGGGTCGCCCTACACTACGCCCATCGGTACGAGGCTGCCACTCGAGAACCTTTTTTTGCCCATCGGTTATCGGTTCTTCGAGCTATATGGCCGGCCCGTCACCACTTCAGCTTACTAATCCGTTGGGCTATGTCGGTCACTCTGGTTCTACTGCGCATATCCTCATTTCTAAGTTTATCACGCAGAGAAATCCCGAGTATAGCCTTGTCCATAGCTCACTAAGCTTCCTCATACAGCCCGCAGTGAAGGACCACGTCTTAGATTCGCAAGTCATCACTTGCAAAACGCATTGGTTGTACAATTTAGTTTTCAGAGTTTGAGTCAAACCTGACGAGAAGATGTGTCGTAATTTCCTGAACGCTGCCCAGCCGAGTTGAATCCGTCGATTGACCTCTCGACCAAATTACGACTTCCAAGCAGTGAACTGCTTCCCTAGGCAGAAATGGGGTCGTAAATAGACTGATCGCGATGACAAAACTAGGAAAGGATACAATTTTATAATGCCCGAGCGACTAGAAGGAGTTTTAAATTCAGTGAGTCGCTGCTGGACATAGTAATGTATTTTGTTTATTAAAACGTCTTTAATAAACAAAAAGGTTCGATTCCACTGGATGGTAATTTTTGTATCATTTACGTTAAACGATATGCACCATTTTCCAATTACGCACCGATTTCAACTATTACTTTAATTAATAGGCTATACTTGAGGGACGGTTCTAGATATATAAAATATGGGATAGGGAAGGGAAAATAGGGAATAAAGTTTTTAATGTAAATAGGTAGAATTATCTTGGGCTTGTAATATTCCATCAGGCACTTGTCTTATAAATGCAGGTCCTTGATACTGTTTATTTTGTTGATGGAATAGTATTTGAATGAATGTTTAAAAATTTCGATTTTATCCAAAACGATTAATTCTAAAAATTATTCACTGGTAACGACTAAAGAATATGACACTAGAGTTTTAAATTGTTTGCGTTTACTTACAAGACCAAAAAATTGTCTTCTCTTACCATGACAATCCATTGAATGCAGAGACAATAGCGTAAAATTACTACAAATTACGAAATTATTCTGGCAAATTTGTTCTCACAACCTTTGTTTAAATACTATCAAGTAAATGTACAAAAGTAATCTAAACGATACGATCAAAGGCAGCAATTGTCCTACTTTAAATTAAAAAATTAAAGGCTTTTGTTGGAAAATATGTCGCGATCTGTCGCGACATTTGCTGCACGACAATGGAGTAATTAAACATAATTGTGATATTTTTTACGCAGATTATATATATTTTTAATTTATAGTGTTCGTTTTCTTGTTACAGCCTATAAAATTCCACTGAACATAGGACTATCCCATAGATTGCCTTATAGGTTTTGCCATAGCTGCCACGCTTGTCAGACGAGTTGGCAACCGTAGTATTTTTATTATTTTGAGTTGTTATCAGGAATTTGCCCATCTAGCGAACTATCTTCTGTTTTGGTTTGCTCTGTCGCTTCTTACGACACACTAGGGACAATATGGGGTAGTGGACATTCTAACGCAATAATTACTAACTACATGGTTACAGTGTTCATTATCGCTTAGTTATTATGCATATAGCGCAGCCAAACCAATGAATTTTATATGACGTTAACACGTCATATAAAATTCATTGATTTGACACGTGTTGTATTTATTTACACATCGAGGAAAAGCCATGCTGCAGCTTCATTGTGCATCACGAATGGATCAGTTCGAAGATGGAAGGACCACGCTCTCACAGAACACCAGCGTCAAATAGCAGCTTAATGCCGCTGTTTTTACTGGAAACGACGCATTCTATCCCTAGGGTGACAACGCATCTAATAAATTCTATATTAAAAATTTTACTATAGAATTTGAGTAAGCAATACTTGTTTTTTTTTTTGTCATATGGATATACACGATACACTTTAGTTGTTTCAGAATATTTATTTTAAATAAAAGTGTGTTTTCTTTGTTTTCTGTTTTATTATTATTCGTATATAGTAATTATATACAACTATTTTGCAGTTATGTGACATGCAATTTAGCACAAATCCAGCTTTCAAAAGTTAACAAACATCCGCGTAAAAATGAAAAAAAAAACTATGTGTCTACGTATACCTAGTTGGAAGTGGACGTCCAGCCCTTGCTCACCACTAATCCCCTTGCTCACCACTAATCTACGATACGAATAAAAATTCCGTCACCACTAATTCCAACATCACAACAATAGGAAAGACACATCACCGTCGACAATACGATATGATGTGTTTTGCCTTTAAACGAGGCATCGTCGGGAGAAGTAGACTGCGATAGCTGACTGCTAAATTTTTATTATATAAAGCCAAATTCTGCATAATAGTCACAGCTGTGACACACCACCTTTCATAATACGACACGTGTTACGCCTCTAAACATGACATCATCAGGATAAACAGTCTGCGACGGCTGATCGCTATATTACAATTATTTCACTATTTCTGAATAGTCACAGCTGCTTTATTCCTGTAATTATTGAAAAAAGAATCCCTAGAAATTAAATAATATTGCCTGAAAATAAAATTAAAATTAAATAAAATAAAAATTAGTTACATCCGTTGATCACAGCATTATAGCAAACTCAAATTCACTTTAATACTTAGTAAAACATATCCTACTATCATTAGAATTATCTCTTAGTTAATTGTGTTTAATTCTTAAACAAAGCTCACAAATCCTTTTCAACTTCCAGATGCATAAGTCCTTTCATATGACGGGGCACTGTCAGAAGCCGAGCCAACGGTTTGTTCCCGGATTAACTTGCAAAGACTAATGTTTTCGTCGGAGCTTACGCAAGATATGGGACACTCACTGGCAGCGCTTATTAAAACTTGTCGTTTTACTAGTTTGTCTTACTTAAAGTTTACAATCTTATGAACGTTATGAGGCAAGACTTCGTCTAGTTATGATTTATATAGTATTAGGTTATGCATTGGACGATCTTATTTAAAAGTAAAGTAAAGTTACAGCCTATATACGTCCCACTGCTGGGCAGAGGCCTCCTCTCATTTCTGAGAGGGTTTTAGGGCAAGTAATAGTCCGCCGCGCTGCCCCAAATGCGTGTTGACGAACTTTCACATGTCTTTGAAATATATTTTTTCTTATTTCTCAGACATGCAGGTTTCCTCAAGATGTTTTCCTTCACCGCCGAGCACGTGGTGAATCAGCACTTAAAATTGCAATTAACAATTTTATCCGGGGATCGAACCCGGTTTGCTCGCGTATTGTGAAATTTACAGCGAGCGCTAACCATCTGAGCTACCACGGCTCACTTCTTATTTACCGTCTGGAAAAAAATAGGGTATAAACAGGTGAACGGAATAAAAGGTTGTGGCAATTTTTTTTCTTTTACATTAAGATATAATGTATTTGATCTATCAATAAATAGTACTAATTCCGTGCGTATTATTTTAATTTCGAAATTTTTTTACTGATTTATTTATTTAGTTCAACATTTTTGTTTGTATTTTTTTAGTACCGAAAGTTTTATTTCAAATTAGTAGTATTTATTGATAGATCAAATTCATAATGTGTTAATGTAAATAAAACAAAATTGTAAAATATCAGTGCCATAGGCTTCTTTCTATTCCGTTCACCTATTACACCTTATTTTTTCCAGACGATAATAAAGATCATTCATTATAATATATAATAAAGAGAACTAGGTTTTAAAGCGAAGCTAAAAGACACGCAATATTTTTCTATAATTTGAGCTATTT